GGACAAGCTCAAATTGTTCTGGGACATCGTTGGAAATTGTTAGATTTCAGTTGAAATAGTCGACTGCTCAGTACGATTTACATAAGGCATTTTGGGCGTGAAGCTTTTCTGAGGTTGTCTAAGCGGTCTGGGACCTATTCTATTCGTTGGTGGGCTGCTAACTAAATTTATCTACATTGTTATTGTCATTTGCTCATTAGTTACTGTTATCTTTAGATCTGCATTCCTGTTAATCGTTTATAAAATTGAGTGAGGGCCACTGACATCTATTTTTTGCTTTTTCTGAGACAGGGAGAGAGAGAGCTCCATTCGCTCGATGAAATAAGTGCACCGTACTCTTGGGATGTACTTCTTCATTTTTATTGTTTTTTGCCACGAGCGTAGTTTCCTCAGGTAAGCTTACTGAACTCTAGAGGACATTGGAAATACACAGGAAACTTATCAAGGTCAACTAAAACAAGTTTGCGGGCCATCGTAGATAACCTGCATTTGCTTTCCGTTTTCTTCCCATTTACTTAATTATAGGCTTTTGGCCTCATGTGTTTGTAGGGTACAATTCATCTGCACGCAAGAACATTGACGCACATGTGTATCCTTATAATTACGTCTACGTGGAAGGTATAAGTCAATCTAGCGATACAGAAACCACTTAGCTTCGCGGTTAATCAGCCGGGGATTTTTCAGGCGTGTTGGTCCAAAGGATAAGGATTGTATTTTGTTGAGTTGTACCTAGAAATGGAGAACGATGTAAGGTTAATGGAATGGAGTCTGTTCCGCGGCCGCAATCAGTTTTGTTTCTATGAATTAGTGGAGCAGTTCTATTGATTTCCGAACATAAGGTTCTTCACTTGTTTACAGTAATTAAGGTAGCTTAGGATTTTATAGTTGCTTGCCGTGGCTCTAACAAATACTATTATGATTATAGGTATAAGTGCAGTTTGACTCCCTCCGAAGTTAGGTAAAAGTTGGTCTTGTCAGTAAGAATAACGAGATGATAGAGAGATATAGGCAGATCTAATAGATTGAAGTAACTTAAGTTTGTTGTCAGATAACGAGAAACTTGGTCGTTCTTATTATTTCGGTTATCTTTCCTTCTTCTCATTAATCGAAAACCATTATTTTCTGTGTACGATAGAATGAGGAAAATTCTCTTAAGCGAACTGCGACTTACAAATTTGAATCCGGGCTTTTCTGGTAACAAATTTTAGTAAGCTTGCAACATTATTATTAGTCACTTCTAGTCTACACAACTGCAGTTTCAGCTGCGCTTTGTGGTTGAATGCGTTGTGTGGTCTGTTCGTGATGATGTGTGTATGAAGTGTCGAATTTCTTCACACGATCCACTTCATGAACATAACACCACTTGACACCAATCTAAGTCTCCAAGCGGAGATTTTGTACGTGTAGAAATTGTCGATAATATCGCAGGATTGATAAACTGACCTGATGCATCAGTTGGAGATTATGAGAAATGTGTTAATTAGATGTTAGTTGCTTCTCTCGTCTTCTACCTACTTACGAGAACTCTTACCTTTTTTGTGGCGTCTGAGATGCCCGTTGATATCATTATTTCTCTCTAACACCTAAAATCACGAAGGAACATATACTTTTGAAGAGAAAGAAATTCGTGTTGAGCTCACAAAACAGTTGTGGTTTTCGATCAGTTCGAAAGGTGTGCGCTAGTTTTCAGATTTATAGCGTAGTTTGCGATAGGTGATTCTATAATGTTGTTTGATAATGACAAATGAAGTGATAGTTCTTTCTTACTTCGAACACTTGTGGAAAAGGTGAATAGGTGCAATTTCAGCTTATTATTCACTACCTATTCTTTTCTAACGGCAGGGTATATTGCGAAATATAACTTCAATGAAATATCCCAACATCACTGAAGGTGAATAGGTAGTTGTCGCTTAAGTAGTCTTCAATCTATTCAGGGACTTTTGGACAGCTTGACGGAATTTCAGCCTTATAACTGTAGCATAATATTGATGATTCTACATTTTATTTGCTTTTTTGTCTTTCTATCTTATTTTTCATACGATCCTGAACCCTTTTCATAGCAGCTATGCTTCCAACGTCTAAACTGGTGTCCACATTCAGGATCTACCGGTATGCGGGCTTTCTGATTGAATTTTGAAACTGATTTATTGCAATGAGCATTTTCGTACATGAAGCGTGGCTCACAAGCATATCAGCCGTTACTTACGGTTGGGGAGGCAGCATAGACTGAGGAAGCCTTCGAATTTTTTATTGCCAGCGTTAGATTTGTACCACTCAAATGTCATAAGACATATAAACCCAGTCCATATATCAGTTATTAGTATAGTATAATGAAAATCCTTCCACGACTCGATGTTCGATGCGCGGTGATCTGATCTGAATTTTTGAATCTGATACGTGCGTAAATTTCTCCAGTCAGAGTGTTGTGTTTGTTCGAAAGGTCTTGTTCGTCCTTCATGTGAGTCCACTGGTTAACTAAAACAGTCACGAAAGAATTTTTATGGTTAAAGGGAGCAATGAGCCAATGATAGTTGCCAACCAACCAAATCACCGTGCTGAGACAATAAGCCGGGCCAGGAAAGGATGCCATGTGTGCACCTCCAAGCCGATCGGGACAGGTGTTAGGAGTGTGATGTGAGGTTGACGGCCGTGCATGAATCAATGGGATGTTTTGTCTTAACTATTCATTGTTTCTGTTATGATGTATGAATCTTATCATAAAGTGCATTACTCGCAGTAAGCTACTTATATGTGTTTTAAATTAAGTTTGGCTTAGAAGAAAACCTTTCCTAACGTTTCCCTTACGTATGTACAGTACTACTATCATTGCTGTAGTTTAAACCCTTTGCTCGATACCGGTCTACTTATCATCAACGGCACGTAATGTGTTTGATATTGGTTCCACTCTATTGTGGGGTCTGGTCATAGAGTTGGACTGAGTCAGTCAAACCGAGCCAGAAAATTTCCCATTCACCAAGCTGCTACTTTGTTCTACAGACATTCATTTCTAATCTCACATGTTTTGATTTCTGTCTCTCCTTGTAATTTTTTTGCCGTCTTCCATCTTTTTCGGATAGGGCAAACATTTTTCGGGCACTTTTTTGCGACGCTTTTTAAAATTTTATCCTTTTGATCATCTCGTCAGTAAACACATCGGTTTTTTCCAGACATCTAATTCAAATATTTACTCTCAGAAACTTATTTACTAATAAAAGGATAAAGCTCCCGGCGTTAATCAACCCCTGAGTGATGCGCCATGCATTCGACTTCATTAAGCATCTTTTAGACGTGATTGAATGCATATCTGGCTTTTGCAATGACTTGCGGTGGCCTACTGATGTATCAAGCCAATGCTGCTATCCTCCCAGACAGGTCTGGTGCTAATTTACCGACCCCGGAGGAATGGGGAAGGCTTGGTGGGCCACGATCGCGAGGATCGATTCCACGTGTGTGTTGCAAGGCCCCTCCGACCACTGCGCCACACACGCCCTTACCTATTTATTTACCTAATAAATTACGATTTTTCTTAGACTGTGGTTACCAATATTTTGTCGTTATTTCATTATCATTGAGTAGTTTTCCAAGCTCAAGCTTACTCATTTTTTTCATCATCAAGTTACAACTAATTTTGTTTTGCGAGATGTATTTCTAAGAGGTTAACTTGGTTTAGATTATAATATAATCAATACATTAAATTCTTCGTTTTCATTAACTATTCGACAAGCAGTGAAAGTGTTGAGGTGTAAATCTAGCGTTTTTAGTCATATTTATTTGTAAATATGTTAAAATGTATGTGAAGCGTTCACTGTTACATTCGACCTTCGTCAAACAACCTCAAGTCGAACATATTTTGGAGCTAGTCTGTGCGTCTCCAACACTAAATACCCTTTCACACTGTACAAATAAGGTGAAGAGGTATTGTACTGTACGCTGTTTACGTGTTTGTATGTGATATGTGTACGTAACCATGTTTAAGTGGCAGTTGTCCATGGAACATGGTAAACGGCGTAACACCGCGTAGAACCGGTGGACTACCATATTTACTTGCAATAGTTTGCAGATTCTGAATGAATGCAGTCATAACCAGTAAAGGGACCAATGTCTTCACAACAATTTTTTGCAGTTTCTTCGTTTTTTTTTCACTCCTGAGGACAAGTTTTTTCATGATAGAATAGAAGCTGCAAACACGCTACAGAGAACTGATGAGTTCCCTGAAGGACTGCAGTTTTAGCATGACTAGTGCCATATTGCAAGATCTGTCTGTATTATCGCTCTATGTTTAGCAGTTTTTTGATACGTACACTGTTTACAATTTGACACTACAAGGAGCTGGTTGTTTTAGAAGTAGGTTATTCAAGAAATAATTGGTCTATAGAGAGCAGTCGGATTGTATATAGGCCACGGTCATTTTATGCCGTCCTAGTTTCATGAGAGTAGATTTGTTACCTCATTAATTTCGTAGCTTTGCTTGATTGGAGTCCCTAGATTTCATTTTGAGGATCCCTCTTCTGTGTCTTAGTCTCGCATTGTTTTTTTTCACTATTTTCGTACATCATTCTGTAGTATTCGTTCTATGTGACTTCTTCGTTACCATACCTTTTGGGGTGGGCGTATGCAAATCATGTCGACGTAGCGTAATCCGATTATTCATGTGCATAGTCGGTAGCTGCGTGAAAATTTTATCAGTAATGCCAAGGAATATGTTGTTACAATTGAATATTTGATCTGTTCATCGCTTTTTTAACCGACTGGTTGATTTTCTTCATGTATGCCCTCCTAGTTGTTTGTGGCTTCTTTTGAATTCCTGGCTTTCCACTTTGTGGTCAAATCATGTCAGAGGTGTTTGTGCGAATTTAGAAAAGGTTGAACTTCTGTGAGGTTTGGAAGGGGATCTTCAATTATGCCCACCCATTCATCAAATTTGAATCTTTCATTACGCGATGACAAATTACTTGTCAGAAGTAAGTAGAGTATGTGTTCTGGTTTTAGCAGTGACGAAAATGCGGCGAGCACGTCCAAAATCTTACGTGTTGGCTACGTCTACGAGCTTTCCAGAAACTGAGCAGATGTCGTTCAGTCAAGATGAAAGCAGGTTCGTTAATGCTTTGTTTAATATTTCTTTCTTACATTGAACTTAACTATTTTTGCAGAGAGTTATCATCACATGGATCGTTGTCGTCCATTGATCGAACTCCTCGCTTAGCCAATCGCGTGCACAATCATTCACATTCACATCGTATTCAGAAATTCATAGCTTTTTTCACTCATCAGGTTCTTCACAGTTTATCAAAATTAACCATTTACTGGTTAACCTCTGGAGTCTGTCCATTATTTATCGTAAAGCTTGCCTCAATCAATGTACCAAATAGAATAACACAAAATTTTATTCACAGCTTTTACACCAATATTTCCAATGGTGAAGTCTAGCCCTCCCTTCACGGGGTCTCAGAGAGGGTGGTTATGTCTACGATGAAGATGCGCGCACCTGCTTCACCATAGGTAGTGCGACAATATTAGCCTAGAAATCTAAGGAACCTACCGACTGCATATATATCAGCACACTTGATTGGTCTTTTACAAAGCGCCTGTCACAATGATCTTGCGTAGCGCAGGGGTTGGGCGTACCCTGCAATATACACAGGACCTTTGGTTCAATTGTGCGCCCAAGGTTAACCAGGCTCCCATTGCTCCGAGGTCCGCAAGCTGACACCGGGCTTGTTTGGGAGATAAACTTACTGATTAATTACATCGATAGGCTACTTCAGGTAAAAGTATTTGCTAAATATGCATTCATTTGTATCTACGATTCTCAATAGACGATTGCTGCACCGCTCAGAAATTAAAAAAGTCCAATACTTGTCCTTTATTGTTCTACCTCACAAATTTCGGAGTACATCGCTAATGGAGAGCCAACGTGATTGTGTTGTTCTATTAACAGGGCCTACAAGACATCGCCAGACTGTCATCGAATCTTCGATTTCTGAAATATAAAATTTACAACTTTTATCTCTTCTTCAACTCCAACCGCCAACCGAGCATTGGGATATATGTAATCATGCAAAGAAACAGGGTTTCGTATAACGTTCGCCTGTGTGGATTATATTCAAGCGATAACGAAGCTCATTGCAGTGTTTTGAGAGACAAGGTGTTATCTCGCTGTCATCGTCCTAGAAAACTTTCGAGTGTGTAGACACGAAATCCGTCGTTGAAAAACAACACTATTCCTACTGGTCACATATGGATCTTTCGTAAAGCGCCCAGCAACTTCACAAATAGAATTTCGTCACTCTGTCGTAGTATCGTAAGAGGGTTGAGGAGAAGAGCTTGATAGTGTATAATTTTTCTTACGCTATTTATAACCCCCTGTTTTGGCCAGAATCGACGGGTCTCGGCCCAATTCGAAGATTCGCGTTTAAGGATCGATCTGTAGTTTATTGATGTGCTTGAGGACATCCACGGCGGCGCCCGTGCTAGCGAATTTAACCAACTTCATTGCATAAAGCGGCGTCCTGATCGTAGCCCTGAATTGTGGGCCTGTCAACCATGGCTCGTTGCTGTCCAAAAAGTGCTCCAGAATTCGTCGAGTCCACTGCTGTTAGGTGCGTTTCACCGTGCAGCACGTTCTGCTACACGGCTGTTATCGGCACGATATCGCCGACAGTTTGCTCGAACGGTCGTAGTGAGTCACGTATTAGCTCGAGTTTGTCGCGATGCCGACCAACACGGACGTCCTGCATGTTATTTTCGTTGTGTTGATATCGTTCATGACCATTAGACCGCGTGGCATGACTTACTTCGGAGTGGATTCGGTCTCCAGCAGTGCTCCTACTGTTGTCATCGTAGTCGAGTCCAGGCGTTCAGTACTTGTCTGGCGGCCGTCGATCGCTTTTCTATCAGAAAACGCATGTGTGGCGTAGCGTAGTGGTCGGAGGCGCCCTGCAGCACACACATGGGATCGATCCCCGAGCGCCTGGTCCACCAGACCTTCCATCTCTCTGGAGTCGGCAAATTGCTACCAGACTTGTTTGAGAGGATAGTAGCACTGGCTCGATACATCGGTAGGCCACCGCAAGTCATTGTACAAGCCAGATATGCATTCAATCATCTCCAAACGATGTTTAGTGAAGTTGAATGCATGGGGCGTGCCTCAGGGATTGATCAACGCCGGAAGCTCTGGCAACTGAACAGGAAAAAAACGACTGGGTTATGGTTTGTAAGAGCATCGAACACGTAATGAAGACGAAAGAGAACATTCAGCTCCACACCTCTCCGACGCTTCGGTAACCTAAACACGACGCGAGAAAAATAAAACTGCTATCCACTTTATCGAAGGTGCTACTGAGACGGCGATTCATGCAGTATACAATATCAACCAAATGAATAAGGAGGTTCACGACCTATGTAAACGATCAAAAATCAGAGATCCTCACTACACACTAAAATTATGCAGGCGAATTATCTTTCAATACCAGTTGCTAGACAGGAACCGTTGGCAACTAAGTTCCACTGGATGTCGAATGCTTAACGATAATTCCTTTGATCCCTCAAACATTTCATAGTGGGATGAAAATTAGGTGTTTTCCGTTCCTCTCAAAATGGTCGAAGTCCAAGGCTATGGGGTGTGACAGGGATGATTGAATACCGTGCATTAATTGTTCGAGATACTGGATGATAAACGAAATCGCAGATGACACAGATGATCATCGTTGTTCTTATTTATTAAAAAAGAGTTAAGTTAAAAAAACTTTTATTGTCGAAGTTTGGACTGTGATCTCCGTCTGTTGGTTTGAAAAAATCTAATCAGTAATCTGAACAAATTGTGCTTTTTTTATTTGAGATTGAGAGTAAATTCTTATTAGCTTTACAAAGGAAGTCATCATATTCTTTAAACAATTCGGTTTCAGAATTCTCCTACGAAACTACGAGCAAAGCGCTCACTCACGTCAATACCTCTGTCTAGAGATCCACTGCCTACTACCGTACTTCGCGCAAGTAAACTCATTCGACAGGGATGGCTACGACATCAGGTTGTGATTCATAAAATATTCAGGAGATGAACATTATTTCTAGGGAAAATAATAGCCAGCATTGAACGTCATAAGGTGTCATTCGTTCCCATCAATTTCCTCAGTTGTTAAATGTGATTAAAATACAAGAAATACGCTTTAACTCTGTTATTTAGGGCAAACTGGTTAAGTATGAGTAAGTTTTACATCAATTATTCTTGCTGTTTACCCACTTTGTTTACATATTTAACATTTGAAGTTAATAAACACTTTATATAAGAAGTATATGATAAAGGCTAAAGGATGGAGTATAAAGGATAAGGAGTTGGGTGTTGATCATTCCCTTCGCGATGTACCGTGTGTTTGACTCCATTAAACGTCGAAGAGGTGAATGAATGCGTATCACGTCAGTGTTTCGATTCTCACAGAAAAGCCTAATGCCGATTTCTCGACCACCAAAGGATGGCCGGTTTAGTTAACAGAGAGAGCGGAACTTGAACCCACGAGCACATTATTTTCATTGTAGAGCACCTCTAACAATCGTTGTCTGGAACTTTACTTATATACATATACTTATAACACGTGGCATACGTTGCTTTTCTACTGATTATGTAAACAAAGTGGAAAAATATGGTGAAATCGTTATGTTATAAAAAGAAATGGTTCCCACAAAATCACAGTTGGCTCATCTTAGTGTAAATAGCTGGACGAAATGAATTTCAGGAGCTGGCACTGGGAAAAAGCGGTAAGCGGCGATCGTGGGAGGAGTGCTGGGCGATGTTATACGAGCAGAGCCTCTATCTGTGTGCTCATGAGCCGATTGCAAAAGTAGCTGAGACCACGGGCGAGAAGGTTGTCTCACGAGACTAGATTTGCTGAACCTCGAGGAAATACATTTTTGCTTTAATAGTGTGGATATTTGGTAGATTAATTAATGACGAGTGGTACTTGAATGTCATAGGTTAGAGGGTTATTGCATCTGTTTTTAGATGTTGATTTATCATTTTAACCTTTTGCAAAGGCAAAGACATACTTATGTTAATACTGTGCTGTAGAGTTTATACTCTACAGACACGTTTGAAAGGGTAAATATCAATGGAATCTTTTGACCAAAAAGAACAGTCAAAATTAAGTGCTGTGATAACGGACAGATTTTGTAACCCTCATTGGTGAAAACGAGCGTAAAGTCGCTTCTGAAGAGCCACATATCGACTCCATTCCAGCTTATTCACCTACCGCCTTGTGCACGTGTCGACGTTAATTCGTCGATCATCGACATCGCCTACGAATGGCTGGCAATGAGCCGCACGAAGCACGTCATCCGTCTCGTGACACAAACTAGAACTGAACATCTGTTTGAGTTGGACAGGTGTGTCAACGCTCTAATTTACTAACTGATTATATTGCGGCGTATATTTCGAGAAACGCTTCAAAAACAATGAAGGTGTTCCGCAAAGATCGTGCAGTGTCGGTTTAGAGACGTTTCAGAACACCAGTTCTTTAGAAGTCCACAAATTTTTGCGAAACTCGTAGTAAAACTGGTGTCATGCTGTATCAGGTTTTGATTTCCCTTGCGTAAGATGAATGACGTATCGAGGAAATATTGTTTTTTTGGATCTGCTCCTGTTACTAAAGAAATTTGACGTAAATTGGAACATTGCGTGTATTTGAGAGGACTTAGAAAAATGCATTTAAATCTATGCTAATATTATTCCTAAAAGTTTTTGCACGCGATAAATTCTGCTCGAACTTTGTAGCGCTCAGTTCTGATTGCTACTTAATGAAAACTCGTACTAGAATTCACATTAGGTTTGGATTTATTTTTAAAAAAAAAACGTTGAAAACATATTTAAATTCTGGTGAGAAAGATTTTTGTATTCCAGTATAATACTATGTCCTCATAAATAGTTCAAATAGTTTTCTCATGTGTGGATCGAGTTCGACTATAAAATTTGTTGCTGACGTTATATGGACTCTTCCGGATGTGAGTGTAGTTGTACATAATGATGATTGATGGTGATGATGTTGATCGTGAAATGATATGTTAAAAGAAATGTTGACATAATGAGCACTATATTGAACTGATTATTTCGGTTAGTTTTCTTTCAAAAAATCCCTTTCAAAAGATTTTCATTTCTATATCTTCGTTAGGAAAGCAATACGTTGTAAATAGTGATTTAGTTCCAGTGATTGATGATTTGAAGATGTTTTAGCGCTGTAGGCGAAAACAACAATTGTCCAAACTCCGAACTCAAAGCTTCGATGCCAGGCCAGAAATTGTGGTTACGACTGCGGCTTAGGCTTAATTGGTTTCAATGCAAGATTTCTGCTCCTTAGATAAATTTCGTTGACGTGTGATTGCTGATGGAATCGTTAGGATAAAATAAACTGGATGAGGGAAAGGCAAAGCAAGGAACTGGTGCAATGGGTGAAGACGTGAAATGAACCCCTGAAATGGGTAATCGAGTGTTCGAATCTGGTCTGAGGTCCAAGTTTTGCAAATATCTCAGGATTGTTGTGAAGCATGTTTCGCATAATACCCAGCCATTGGAAGATAATAGGCAGTAAGTAAAAATTTGTACTATTCTCGAAGCTGCTAGCAGGATGCTTCCATTCTTATAAAATGTAGTTGATCAAATACTATTAATGGTACCGCTACTTGGGGATTGTGACACATGTCGGAACATCAGAAACGCTTCAGTATGGTCCTTGGCATCCTTGGCAGATGGTGTTCGCTAAGACGATTGTAGCTTCTTCACATTATGTACCCTTTGTTGCCGGTTTTCTCGAATAGATGGATATAGATGTGCTGCACAGGAAACAAAGCAGCTAGAGATGCTGTGCAATGCACATGTGATCTGGTGTTCGACGTCATTGCAAGCAGTCGTGCTCCGATCCTTCCAGAGTTGGCTAATTCGTAACAGACTTTTATGGAAAGCTCCCTCCAGTCCACAGTGACAGGTGAACTTCTGTGGTGAAGACCTGCGAGCGTTCTACTATGACTATAGCAGAATCTCGGGTGCAATGAATACGACATGCATTCAAGACATGACGAAATCTTTCACTGGCAGCCCAACCAGCGACAAATTCCAATACTTTAATAGTTGACAGATGCAAAACAATGAATTGGGAGAAAGAGCTGGGACCATTGGAATATGCCAAATCGAGTTGTATAAATAAATGGAAATAAATATTACTGTACTACACTTTTTCTGTTTTCTCTGTTTTCATACTTCCTTTACAATTAATTAGTATTTGCTGACTTGGTGTGCTCTTTTACTGGAGTTCCGATATTGTGTTGCCAGAACCTCTCTAATGGCCGTAACCATAGGAGGTGTCTTGTTGTTATGGAACTATGGAAGATTTACTGCCTTCCGACCTGGTTTCTTCGAGTGCGAGGTGATCAACTATAGAATAACTTCACTTTTGCCTGAACTGCAGCATAGAAATGTCGAGGCCGTTCTCAACATCGGTGATTAATTTAGATTGATAGACCCTTGTTTTAAAATGCAGTCTGATAACCAGGAATAAGGTAAACCGTTGGGGAGTTTTTTGCTTCTAGACTATGGGAAAATAAAACGCATGTTAAAATTTTGTTTGCTGACGCAACTAAACTGGATTTTTATACAAAAAAATCAATATGCATCGATTATTCATTCAGTGAAGCTGAAATGCTGTCGTGGATTGCAACTCTTCAATCCTGTGCTGAAGGTACGATGTCACCAGAGTTGTATAGTTCATGTTCCGTGAGTTGGTTATTTACTACATTTTTCTTCTAGTTTCTATCTTTGTTGTCTTGAGTGTTTCTCATATGCTACGACTTTTCCGGTTTCTTCTTTTGAGGCTTACATTTCATCCTATCCTTACACTTTTCGCGTACTTCACTTCATTCCGTCGTTCTCATCTCTACCTGCCTTTCTATTTCCAAATTTCTGAGGATAGTGTTCAGAGTTTATTATTTCTGGTTTTGTACATTCTATGATCTGAACTGATCAGGCATAGACAGTATCATGTAGAAAATGCTTGTAGTTTCAGTAAGGTTTTCACAGATTGGGAATCCACTGAGCCTTATGGGTATTTGAGCATTTATTAGCTATCAAAACAAGTGAATTGCGCTTATTTGGTTTCACTCCAGTTTGCCGATGTCTTGTATTGTGAAATAATTCATTGGAACCTTTGTAACTTTCTCAAGAACACAAAGTTCTACTGAATTACTATGAATTACGCAGTGGCTCATAGGCCTGTCATAAGCGACTTTAGCGAGTTTTCTTACGTCTCTACAAATGTCATCAAGTTTTGAAGTGATTTTATCGAAAGAAGAAACTCAGCAAAATGGGCGGAAGTATTCCACGTTTTCATTGTAAACTATTGAAACGAATTTCTCGGGAGTTGATGGATGTGATGGTTTTTAGATTTATTCACCAACGGTTCGTAGTATTACGTCGCAATCACCTATGTCGCGCTTAATTATAGAGCAATTCTCGGATGCGATCAGAAAACTGCATTCTTTAGAACTTTGGAGCAGCTAACACCATTAGTCAACGAATTTTAGACACCTATCCCTCTTCGCCGTTTTCGCACCAAGTGAGATGATATGTCCACCCTAGAAAACAGAGCTTTTAACCGCTTTCCTTTGCTGTGTGAAGAATTACTGTGTAGGAGCTTTACAAAGTGTTAGAAGATCTGTTGTTAATGTTTTCGGTTAGAAAGGGATCGTTTAAAAATCCTGAGTTTTAAGATGTGGATTCGATTCCACGACATCCGCAGTCATTTCGGGTTGGATGGGGAAGATAAGGGAAAGGAAGTCGACTCGGCGGAGTCATCAAGCGGGGCCGCTTGCGCCATGACATCATCGCAGTCGCCTGAGTCCTAATATAATTGCTGTAGACTTACGGATGATTGTGTGCTGTTTTTTTTCTCCCTGTTTTTTGGTCCTCTTATTCTCCAACCTCTACCTCAAAGGATCTTATCCATTGATATTCGCTTTCAAACTGTCTGCTGTACACCTTTTATCGAAATGAACCTGCTTTCTCCGTGAACGAATCTCATCCACTGTTCCTCACTCTGCCCGGAATATCTTTCTGTTTGTTGGTGAAATCGTTGTTGATGAAGCCGACTACTTTAAGCAACGAGCCTTAATTTCCGCTATTCGCTTGATTTACCAGACGTATCCGCACTCGTCTCTCTTTCTTGTTCAACAGATGCAGAGGGATAAGTGGGCGAAGTTATGGAAAAAGTGTCCGCCCTAATCGAAATACCTACATTACGCCCGGAACCCATTTCACGGGTATTTTTGGTGGATAGATGGGTTCTTTCAGAAGTAAGTGGCACAAAGGATTCTGCTAAGAAGGCTTCGACGCGTTCATTAATGGATAAACAAATCGTGCATGATTCTTAACGTGGAAGAATATTCGAACGAAATTTCTTAGGTTTCTTACCCTAAACCGCGGGTAGCAGATGCGCGCATTATTTCTGATTTTAATTCTATTTCTGACTTCTTATTACTTACAAAACGTTTGACAGTTGTAGAAAAACAGAAAGGCTTTATGGGATGAACTTCTATCAGCTTCATTGTCCATTTTATTTTTTTTTTATAGAGCTATAAATTGCAAATTTTTTTTTGTTGAATACGGTAAAAAAAATCTGAGGGGCTGACTTTACGAGAATGGTTTTGCTTGGTTGAGGTAGTTTCGTTGTGTCGTAGGTTTTAGTTTCGCTGATTATGGAAGGATCTCGATATTCCGCCATACCCTTAGAGTTGTTATGGGAGCAGTACACTAGTTCTTCTTGATTTTTGATTGATTGCACTACTACATATAATTAACCATATTTCTAAAAGCTAAGGGCCTACCGTAAAGGTCATTCACATATATATTGGTAGGTAACTTTTGCTGAAGCAGTCCGCATCGTTATAATATATTTGCTACCTAACACATATCCGCTGAGTGTATGCTTCTCAAAATCACCAAGATCTTGTCGAGTATTTAGAAATCTGATGTGTTTTACCGATCAGTACTTTCGTGTGTTATTGAGCTAACACGAGGTTGGTGGAAAGATTTACCCGGCTAGTGCACCGGCGCCCTTGTCTTCTTCAGAGCCGCGTTGATCCGAGTGCAAGAATAGTCCACGGCTGGTCGTTGCCGCATCGAGTCGAATCCGGTGAAGAGAGCACCGCTTCAGTGGTGAACTTCACTCGGCAGTGCTCTTTTATAAAGAACCCACAAAGCGTGGCAATATTTTAGAAGAAGTCTTTTTTTAAACACATATTGTTGATGTTCTGGATTACCATTTGTGGTCTCTTAATCGCTACTAGGTCACCTACAGCTCGTGTTTTAGCGCTCGAAATCTTCTCAACTTCGAAACATCTCCGTTGAAATGCGAAATCAGAGCCGATTATTTCGTTTGCTATCGTTCGAATGTTGTTGAGAACAACTACTGTATGTTCAGTACATAAGCAAGTGGTTCAGTTGTGCAATGGGCAACACGTGAGCCCCCGGGAAGTGTAATCGCGGGTTCTAATCTGGTTTGGGGTCTATGTTTTGCAAATATCTCAGCCTCATTGTGGCTGTAACTCACATAATGCCCTACTGTGAAACGAATAGTAACCATTAAAAAAAGAGTTAAAGGTTGTTCAGTATATTTGTCGGTATAGAAGTTTACGGTAGATTTCGGGTCGAGATCTTCGTCTTCCATTGGTCCGTTCATACAAGTGTATATATTCAGACACGTGTATAACCACAGAGTCCATCCATGTATGGCGGCAGAGGCTGTGCTCAGGAGAAAGTGAGCGCGAGCGAGGGAAGGCCGTCGCCGTCACCGCTGCCGCCGCCGCCACCGCGTCTGTGTATCGATTCAACTCTCTTAATTCTCTCTACTAGACAACACGTCGTCTGTTGATCGTCTATGTCGTGGAGGTATCCATTCTAAGCTGATCAGTATATTCTCTAAAGAGGCCGTCATGCTGTTGAATGACTTCATTCACTTTGTTGTACCTTATCGCTATCATTATATTTTCTTCGCTAGTGTATTTCTGTAGACTCGAAAACACAGTTCAACCACGCGACGCTTCTGCAACGATCTTGTTCACCAGAATGAAGCGCACATTTTGAGCCGATTTATCATGCTGACGCGTTGGTTTTCCTGATTATGGTCAGTCATCGTCGTCAAACGCCGCATCCATATATCATCACGGCAGCGGCAAATTGACGACCAGTCTTTACCGTGGGAATCTGTTATGGTGGTGGTCAGTTCGAAAATGGAATGTGTAGTCGTTAATCTGAAAATCTTATATGGAATGAGGGACCAACATGATTAGTTCGAAAGTGGGAGGTGTCGTCGTCTGCTGATCTGAAATTGAACTGATGTGAGATCAGATATGTGAAAGTTCGAGGCATTTAAATCTGTTACTCGTCGAACAATCTTGGTCGTCTGCTTAGTAGCTTCTTAGATTGTTAAGCTAACGCGAGGTTGATAAAGATGCTTATTCGGCTAGCGTCTCGACATCTTCGTCTTCATCAGAGCTGATGGTCCGATTCGCTAGTCCATAGTCGTTCGTCCTCTCGATCTGGTGTCTCCGTTGTGACGAAGAAAGAGATCTGGTGAAGACACCACATCGGAAAGTCAAACGACTGTGAGCCATCTACTCGGTTTGAAAAAATCTTTTGTTAAGTGTTCATTGTTTCTGTTGAATCGTCGCTCTATTAGTCCTATGTTGATTTCGACATGCGCAGTACTACAACTCTCGTTGCCTTGAGTGGTTTTCCTCTTGGTACTACAACAGCGCTCATCACTCATTTTCCACTCTCATCCACTTAATGACTTGGTTTTGTTGATCAAAGCGTTTCCATTTAGGAATGTTAACGTTATTGGAGTTTTAATTGGGTTTTCATTTTGAGGCGCAAATTTCTGATTACTTCGTCTGTCGCTGACAGTTAATATTTTGCTTCTAAAATTAGAACGCTGCCACGAACCAAGCTTGGGTTCAATCTCTCAATCTCCTCACCAAATTGTTAAAAACACTGCGCAGCGGCAAACTTCCAAATTAAGATGTTTTTTTTAGATTTTTTTCCTATGTGGTCCGCATGTGGTGAAGAGCAATAACATTTTCTGGTGAGAAAAACCTATATGATAGGATAACCTTTATTTGGAGGAATTTTTAGGTCATTTTGAATTGTTCATGCCCTTTAAAGGCATGATTGGTGATATCTTTGAAGAAGCGACAAGCCTGTGGTGCTAAATTTTCCTGTCTGAGGCTTTCTATTGTCGTACTAACCAAAATCTCTGTTCTTTGGATACTGCTTTCCCTATTCTAATAGAGAGTAGTACGATCTGGTTGGAAAGCTATAATCCAGTGTATCTCTATAACTGCAGAAGAAAATTAGATTATGATGCTGACTCGTTCAAGTCCAACCCGTCGCTGGTTAGCTTGCGCAACAGATTGCTATGAAGCAGTGTGGTGGTTTCTTTTCTATAGAGAAGCTCTCACAAATAGATCATTAAGGACGATTTTATGACTATTACACCTAGGTAGTGATTCGCCTTTTCCAAAACGGCGAGCCTTTAAGTTGGCTGTTCTTTAACAAATACAATGAAATCCAATTTTTATGATTCGGTTTCCTCTGTAGAATAGGAGACTCACTTCTTTAGTGCTTATAAACTACATGGTTCACTAGATAGCTTATATCGGCGCGGTGGTTCGTTGAATAGCTCAATTTCCTAGCAAGATTTGTCTGGCCAACCAGATTTCGTTTGCGGTTGGTGGCTATGCCGAAGAGAATAGTCAGTAACTTGACTGGAAACACATATCGAATAGCCAAATGTAATCGGCTTCCACCTTCACTCATCATTTAGAATTCAGTGTATCGCCAATATATGGATACCACCTTAATTTCCGAAATCTTCTGAATGAACTCTGCTCATAGAAATGCCAAACTTCGTAGAAATGTCACCAGAAATTTCTAGGCGTCGAAGGTGTTTTTAGATACGAATCTTTCAATGCTATAGAGCGATGATACCGGTACCTTTTGAGTTAACGCGATTGATGGGGCGCTTAACTCTCCATGTCTTTTGTCGTTCTCCGTTTTTTTGGGTGCAACCAACCAGCCGATAGTGGCTGATTGAGATTACGTGGTTCTTGCAAACTGAGGAACTTCGCGTTGCAAAGCTTCTTCACTGTTGGCATGGGCGCTACCTAAGAGGCTCATGTTACACAAAGATTTCGAAGGCGTGGCTCTTATTGACTTCCCGGAGCGTGTTTTCTATTGTTTAGACGTTGTTTGCTTCGTTCATCGTCGAACTCGCTTTAAACGAAGACGAATGTATTCTCAGAGACGCGGCGTAGAGGTGACATACCTTCATTACGGCGTTTATCTTTACCTACGCTTTACTAACGAGCGAGAAAAAAGTTGGAAGAAATAGCGAAATATACGATTTTCCTGTTTTTCTTCTTAGCAAACCTAATAGGATGACAAGGCGCTTGTATGTGTTTGATTTTCTTCAGTGAGCTTTCAATGACTAGAAACCTACATTTTAAGTCAATCATGACATTATGTAACGATAGAAATGCTGAATGTCGGTGACGACAGAAACTAACGCTATTAACAAAATGTGGGAACAGGAAAAAAAAGCTCAACAAACAGCTTCATCATTCTCTCACTTTTTCCGAGTATATGATGATGATCTGCTTTAAAATAGCTACGTAGCTAATGGTGTCTTCTTTCTGTAATTTCTACGATCAACTTTCTGTTTAGCTCGGCATTAATCCAATAATTCACTGTTTTTTTTTTGATGAGCAAACATGAGTTTGTTACTTTATCCTTTATTTATGAACAAGCTGACGCTTCGGCAGATTTCACCTTCTTCAGAGGCCAAACA